GAATGCATCATGTAGCAGTGTGGTACATGGATGGTCTTACCTGGTTAATCCACATTAGGGGAGTCGTTGCCTAGCTTGTTACATTATTTCCATAAGTGGTTCATCCTGGTTAATTTGCATTGGGGAACCACATTATTGGATGCTTGCCTATGGTCCCATCTGGTTAATCCACATTGGGGGATTATACGCATTCCAGAAATCGATTCCATTGAGTGGTCCAGAATTATGTTCCGTTGGTGTTCCGTTGAGTGGTCCGGATACCCTGCTTCGTCTCAATTCCTTTGAGTGGTCTAGAATCGTGTTTTATTCGGATTCCGTTGAGTGGCCCAGAATCCCTTCCCGTGTCGGTTCCATTGAGTAGTTCGAAATCGTATTTCGCTAGTGTTTCGTTAAGTGGTCTAGATACCCTGCTTTGCTCAATTCCGTTGAGTGGCCATGATCGTGTTCTATTCGAATTCCATTGAGTGGTTCAGAGTCATTTCTCGTGACGGTTCTATTGAGTGGTCTAGAACTGTATTTCGAAGGATTCCGTTTAGTGGTCCGAAAACCCTGCTTCATCCCAATTCCATTGAGTTGACCTGTAACTATCTCCCTAGAAATATGTACTGTTCATTTGAGTCAATCTAGAATGTGGAAACATAGGAGTTGTAGGTGGCCGAACTATGCCGCTCTAGTCCTAGTTTCAGTGTATATATGAATTCGATTTGAGAACTTTTGTGGTTTGAGTTAGAAAGGCCAATGGAAGTCTAGATGACTTCTTCGGGATTTTCAACGAGTTTATTTATAATTTTATAAAGTATGATTTATGAATGATATTTAGTTTGTTGTTGAATTAGATTGGTTGATCAAAAGGTTAATATTGTGTACCTTTGAATCATTTAAATGTTATTTGTAGTTGATTGAGGTTTTGGTTGATGGAAAACATTGTGAGATATGTGAATGATGAAAAAACATATAGGTGCAACACGCATGTGGGAGATGTCTGGAATTCTGTGTTTCTTGCTAGTTAATCCTTGAGAAATATGCAGAGCTTAACATAAAGGTGAACTACAAATAGCTTGATCCCATCTTAGGTTATGTAAACCATCCAATACAGAGGTTAGATGCAACTATGATATAAAAGAAAATTTACTACGTTGTTGATTCATTGATTTCTGCCACTTTATGTTTTTGGCGTAATGTTTTAAAATATTAGTACGAGAATTAACGTTAAATAGTGAGGTGATAGAGAGAATCTATAGAAAATTCCACCTTGAGAGAGTCTCCTTATCATTTCTCATATGTTATTTGTTTTTGAAATGAAAAAACGAATTGAAGAGGTACAAAAGCTCAACTTTATGTAATGAAGTAGGATTGTAGAGGAAGGAATGTCTGAGAGTTGTTATTAATCCCCATGCTTGATGCAACATATGCATTTACAGCATCAAGCTCATCAGCTGTAGCTTTGTTTGTTGTATATCCATAAAAATATGTAGAAGAACTAAAATGGTGGGACGCTTTAAGCTTTATTCCATGTTTTTGAGTCTGGAAGAAAAATCGTACACAGTTCCCGATTCCTTGAGACACATAGTCCCCATTCTCATTTCAGGTCCTCGATTTTGGCGGATCCATATACATATTTCCCCATTCTCCTTTCAGGTCCTCGATTTTGGCGGATCCATATACATATCAGATGCTTTCCAATCCGTTCTCATGTCCAAAAACAAAACAAGAAAAATACTCTCCCTAATATAAACCTTATGACCTAATCATGCGTAAATAAATATCATGATCAATAATGTTAGATTACTACTGAATTATTTATCCTCGTGTGGCACCAATATATATAATGAAATTATAGACGTTAAGATTACTTGCGAGTTAATTAATGATAATTGTTAAACAAGGATGGGACTGTCTTTAGAGGTCGATCATTTGCTCATCTGCAGTACTGCAGGCACCTAGCAAAGTAAATTTAGACCACTTTTTTTTAATTAGTTTGTCGCTGCAGTTCAAAATTCATTAGTTAGTTGTTTTAGATTTTTGGATAGTGGCTAGCTAGCTTTACATCCAAAAATAGAAAAAGGAAGAGAAAGAGCTAGCTGAAATCACCAGTTGGAATTTGGTAAATGTTTATTGTGAAGGAGTTGGAAGTTGCACCATAATATCAATTGGCAATACAGAGATTAGCTCAACTCCTTATTAACGCATGCAAGGTCTCTCAACTTTCTTACGTGGTGCCACTCAAGCCAAACGCATATGCAAGGTCCTCAAACGATGTCTCACGTGTACTGACACTCAAGCCAAACTTGTGAACACCACAATTCAAGTGACGTCAATCAGTCACTGTTAAAGACCACACCATATCCTCTTACGCTCCATGTGGCGACACTCAAGCCAAGCATGTGGACAACAAATATCGGGTGATATGGAGCTCGTGTATCTATTAAACGTTTACACGTAGGCCAATTTGTTTTGTACCATGAAGGAAATTGAGTTCCACCATAAAACTAATTAACAATATGAAGACTAGCTCAACTCCTTCTAAGCATATCAAGGTCTCTTACCTTTCCTATATAAGACAACCCTTCACATTTTCATATAAGATGGTGTTATCTACACACCTATTTTTTACTTCCCAAATACCCCTTGTTAATTTCTTTCATTTGGTCCGATTGCCGAAAATTGAGTGGTGGGTATAGAAGATAAAAAAGTGTGTGGATAGCAGTACTTTTTCACATATTATAAAACTAGATTGTGGGCCTTGCCTTAGAATATCACACTTCTATTTGTTGAGAATTCGAGCCGAAAAACTATATAGCGCTATGCAACCTTACTAGCCACTCTGGAACCTTTGCCCCCAAAACCCCAAATCTAAAAGCATCAATGTCGCTGCTCCCTTACTTCGGCTTGGGGCCAACGATAGCCACTCTCCCCCTTATATCTACAGAATCTGTTTTCATAAACAAGCTTGTATCTGAGACTGATGCAGTGAACCCTGTTGCTAGTAAGTAGCTTTTAAACTTTGAATTCCAGGCTCTGGGTGCCTGTTTTAATCCATATAATGACTTAACAACTTAACAACTTACAAATTTGAGTTGGATGACTGGGATCTACAAAACCTTGTGGTTGCTTCATGTATACATCTTCATACAACTCCATGCAGAAATGCATTCTTTATATCAAGTTGTTTCAAATCCCACCTATTCATAACAGCTGATGCAATAATAATCCTCACAATTGTATGCTTAACAACTGGACTAAAAGTATTTGAATAGTCAATTCCATGTTCCTGTGAAAAACCTTGGCTACAAGTCTTGCCTTGTATCTTGAAATACTACCCTCAGGGTTCTTTTTCAACTTGTACACCCACTTACTGCCAACTTTGACTTATTTTCAGGAGCAGGTACTAGCGTCCAAGTACCTTGAGCTTGAAGAGAATCATACTCTTCTTGTATTGCATTTTTCCAGTGAGACATGGATGTTGCTTTTCTAAAACACGATGGTTCAACTGAATTTGTAATTTCACAGAGAAAAGAGAACCCTCCAACAAATAGATCTTCATCTGTAACTTGTAAGCTTTGAAGTTCAGGACAAAAAGCTATTAATGCTACATAATTCTTCTTTCTATAGCACCAGTTTTCAACCTTGTTTGAATTACATTGTCTGATATTGCAGTTGAGCCAAGTGAAGACTTATAAGATGAATTAGTTAATGGAAAGACAGGGAGAACTACCTCAAGTTGCGAATTGTGATGGACATGCAACATTGGAGAAATCCCAGTTGATGTACCAGAGTGATGGTGATGGGGACTGTTATGTTGATGTAAATTATAATACCATTGTGGTATGAAGTTGAAGTTGAATTTCCAGCACTTAATTCATGTGATTCACTTGCTTGAACAGATTTACTATCATGATCATTCTGTACTTCTATATTTTGGCTTGCATAATCATTTCCACCAAAAGATGGCATTTGTATCATAATTGGAACTAAAGAACATTGTGAACTGCATTGTTGTGAATCTGTATAATTCTGCATCTCTATGATTGATTTTACTTTGTATGGAAAGACTTCCTCATTGTGAATAACATGTCTTGATATGATTATCTTACCATTACTGATATTGTAGCAAGCTACTTCCTTATATCCCATCATATATCCAAGAAATACACATTTAATTAACCTTGACTGCAGTTTATTTTCATTATATGGTCTTAAAAATGGATAAAATGCAGTACCAAACACTCTTAAATGTTGAATTTCAGGTTCTATTCCAAAGAGTACATGATATGGTGACTTCATGCTTAAATTTCTGCTTGGCATCCTATTAATGAGAAATGCAGCATGTGTGCAAGCATGATATCAGAACTGAGTTGGTAAATTTGTTGCAGTTAACAACGTCACAATAGTTTCAATTACATGTCTATGTTTCATCTCAGCAAGTCCATTTTGTTGGGGAGTATAGGGACAAGATATCATATGACCAATTCCTTTATTCTCTAGAAAATCAATAAATGCCTTACTTAAAAATTCTCCCCCTCCATCAAACTGTAAACACTTGATTGTAGTATTGAGTTGATTCAGAATAAAAACATGAAACTTCACAAATATTTCAAAAGCTTGTGATTTATTATTCATGGGAAATATCCAGAGAAACCTAGAGTATTCATCTACAAAACTAATATAGTATACATATACCTTTGTACAGACACTTTTGGAGATGGTCCCCATATATTAGTATGTATCTTCTCAAATAGAAAAGTAGCTCTAGATTGTTTTACAGGAAAGAGTTTTTTACCACTAATACAAGAAGAACATAAAGATTGTGAACAATCTGCACTAACTGTAACCTTTGACTTCTTTAACATTACAACAAGAACTTCCTTAGATGGATGTCCTAACCCTTGATGCCACACTGAAACTTGAATTTTTTTCCCAGAAAAGCTGAACATCTTCCAAATCTTGCAGCGAATGACTTGGCAAACACATTTACTGGTATTGTAAACAGATCCCCACCATCACTCTTTCCTTGGTAAAGTATTTTCCTTGTTACCAGGTCCTATATAAAGAACACAATATCACAAATAAAGCAGCAACCATTATCCTTGCACATCTTTTTAATAGATAACAAGTTGACAGTAATTTTAGGTACATAAAGCACATTTTTTCAATACTATAGCATTATGAGGCACCTATATTGAAGTTGAACCAATATGGGTAACTAATAAACTTGTACCATTCCCAATGGTGATCTTCTCATCACCAGTGTATGGAGTAACATTATTAAGATGGTTTAGATTGGTAGTCATGTGATGAGTAGCCCCTGTGTCAATGATCCAATTATCTTCAGCAGAAAAACCATGTCCATTTTCATTTGAAAACACAGAACCAATAACTTCATTTGATTCAATGTTTGTCTGAGCAGTCATAGCAAGAGAGGGTGGTGGTGGATTACCTTGATACGCATAGTTGTTCATATGGTAGCATTCAAGAGCAATATGCCCTATTTTCCCATAAATTTGGCACATCAAAGGACTAGAACTATGTACATTCCCATTATCCAACCTGTAATAACAGTTTGGTGCAGGGTGCACTCTTCTTGAGCATATCTGACACTCATGTGACACATAAGATTTAAAATTGGTATTTCCAACCCAACTTGACTTAGAGTAACCATTTGAACTCCCATTACCAGATTACCAAAGTAGTTGTTATTACTCCCATTTCCATTTCTATTACTAAACCCTGAAGAAGAATTCTTGAAACTATTATTCCCATTACCAAACTTCTTGAAGTTGTTGTTACCATTTTTGGTATTAAAATTGTTGTTGCCATTCATGTTATATACATTTCCCATAAAACCAGTACAACCTTGAAAATTATTCCCAAATTGATTTCCATTGTATCCTTCTTGCATCCTTTGTGTATTTGAGCTTTCACCATGTTCATAGCCCTGATATCTCTGAGAGTTAGACGCTTCACCTTGTACACACATTGCACCCATAGAACTTGTTAAAGATTGCATCTTGGACTCGGTGTTCCTTTCTGCAACAAGAAGTTTAGCCCTGAATTTTTTTAGAGACAATTGTATCCCTTGCCAAAATCACTGTCCTAATTATTTCAAAATCTACAGGTAAACCAAATAAAATAGCAATCATCAATTCATTATCTGAGATCTTTTCTCTTGCAGAAGTTAGTTGATCCCTTATATTCTTCAACCCCATCAAAAACTTATCCACATATTTCCTTCATTTTTGGGATGTATGTAATTCAGTCCTTAACTAATTAACTCAAACTATTGAAATTGTTGCAAACATTTCTTGTAAACATGTCCAAGCTTCATGAGATGTCCTGCACCCAATGACATGCTCCATAGCCTCATCAGACAGAGTGGCAATAGGTAGACTTAGCAATGCCATATCTTTCCTCACCTATTCTTTGTAAGCTACAATAATTTCCTTTGTTACATCAATTTCTGTATGAATCACAAACTTGGGTGGACAAGGAGCTTTTCCAAGAAAGAAATCAAACAAATCATATCCCCTTAATACTGACTGGAATTGATATCTCCACTTAACAAAATTATCATTATGTAGCTTTACACTTAACATTCCCAACAACCCTTCAATCTTGACACTTGAATTAGCCATTGTATCAATTTGGCAAGCACAATGAACTTTACTATCAAGAAATATGAGATTGGACACCACAAACAAATTGAATCTTTGCAAGAAACCTTCAAACACTTCTGGTTATCGGCCTTACTGAAGTGAATAAATCAGCTTTCGTGAGTAATCGCACCAAGAATTCTTCAAACACTTTTGGCTATCGGCTTTTCTGAAGTAAAAAATATAAAAAGGAAATGGCTTTCGGCCTTTCTATCCCAACAAACACCTCATTGTTCTGTAAACTTCCATAATTTCCAACACTTATGGCTATCGGCCTCAAACAATTATGCAAATTGAAGCAAAAAACTTTCATTGCAACATTCCATCAATCACAAAGAGAGAGAAATTTTAGAAAAACTGCAAACCTGACAACTTTTCTTTCTCGAATCTGCACCAGAAATGGAACAATCTTGATTGAAGATCTTCACCTCCTTTTAGAGCACAAATAAGCGGAAGTAGGCCACCAACCGACTCGGCAATGATACCATATTAACAAAGTATCAAGAATGCATAAAATACACTATGAACACTATGACTGTTTAGAGAGAGAAATGAATAGAGAGAGAAAAGTTTGATTGTAATGATGGTGAATAGATCAATCTTACAGCTATCAGAATACAGTTTATATAGTTATCAAAGTTAGCTTGCAGCCTAAGCTACTGAGCTTAACAAACTCTATCCATAGTCTCAATTGTCTAACTAACTATTGATGAGCTGGAATGATGAGCTGGCATAGGTATATAGTCAACATCGTTACATGAATCCACCTTTATGACTTTGTTTCCATGAAAGAATTGCTCTCCTTGATTGGATAATGTGGCAGTGTCGCTTACCTAGCCCGATCTATGGTAGCTTGATATGGTCTCGCTCAGTAGTGATGATTTTTGTGTGTCTGCATCTATTTTTTATTGCCACAAATTTGTACTGGCGGCAGTCTTATGTTTGTTGTTTGTAGTAGCCGTATATGGGTTTTTCTGATTGCGTTTATTTGAGAAAATTATCCCTACATCAAGGTATTGGTCATTGGAGAAATCACACCCACATAGCACGCGTTGTAATCTTTCTCTTTGGTTAATGAAAATTTCTATCTTTTCTTCTAAAAAAAAGAGACAAAAACTAAACTGTGAATTTGGATGATAAATACTCAACGAATAATTTTTGTGATCAATAGTTAAAATTTACAGTCAACTTTTAAATATGTTTGGTAAAAGAAAATTTCCTACCAAAGATTGTAGTATATATAATAGGGAAGAGGTGTTTATTTCTAGGTTAGTACTCTATCATTAATGTTTATTATTTAACAAATTCTTTTGCATAAAAAGAGAGCGACGCACTTCGAAATGAATACCATATCTTTTATCAAATTTGATGTGTGACAGAATTAAAGAGAGAAGGCAAAGCTAAGTTGCCTTTGATACTTAACATTAGAGTCCTGCTTAATTGTCAGCACATGCATTCCACTTTCCACTACAAAATCGACTTTGGACCCTAATTTTTACCTCAGCTACAAGAAAAGCACCATCCCACTCTCCCATAAATTTCACACCCAATTTGCCTTCACTCTCTTTCCTATCTCTCTCTAGATCTTCTTGTGTATCCTCCTCTCTCTCCCTCTCTCTCTCTCTCTCTCTCTCTCTCTCTCTCTCTCTCTGATCTCATGATCATCTAGATCACTAGATAAATAAGTCTCACAGCTACTGCACCTCATATATAACCGATCTAGCTACACATAACTGAGTTCCAACACTCCTTAGTCTCTTTCAAAATCCATCTCACTTCTTTCTTTCTCCACTAAGCACTGATCACCAGGCCATGAACCTAAAATCTCAACAAGTACTCTCTCTACAGATTCACCATCGAATTTAACCTTCCGTTTCTTATAATTAAAGCAGGTAGTTGGTGATCATAAGAGTTGAAGATGAGAGCAGGAGGTTGCACGCTTCAACAAGGTCTAACCACAGAGGCTGCAAACATATTAAAGCAAGCAGTAACCCTAGCAAGGCATCGTGGCCATGCCCAAGTAACTCCTCTCCATGTTGCAAGCACCATGCTTTCTTCTTCAACAGGCCTGTTGCGAACCGCTTGCCTTCAATCACACTCTCACCCTCTCCAATGCAAAGCCCTTGAGCTTTGCTTCAATGTTGCCCTCAACCGCCTCCCGGCTTCTAATTCTAGCCCCATGTTGGGCTCTCACCCCCAACACCCTTCCATCTCCAACGCCTTGGTTGCAGCTTTCAAGCGTGCTCAAGCTCACCAAAGGCGTGGTTCAATTGAGAACCAGCAGCAGCCCCTCCTAGCTGTGAAAATAGAGTTGGAGCAACTCATAATTTCCATCTTAGATGATCCAAGTGTTAGTAGAGTCATGAGAGAAGCTGGGTTTTCTAGTACCCAAGTGAAAAGCAATGTAGAACAAGCCGTCTCATTAGAAATATGTAATTCCCAAACACCTTCTGTGAGTAGCAAGTCCAAGGAAAGCAATAGTAATCTCCTAGTAGTCAACCCTCATCAGTTTCCTTCAATTGGTAGTCAAATTGGAGTAATCAAAGATAGCAAGCCAGTGCTGCCTTATGATCTAAGTGTTAGGAATGAGGATGTGGCATGTGTTATAGAGAATTTAGTGAACAAAAGAAGGAAAAGTATTGTGGTTGTGGGAGAGTGTCTTGCTAGAGCTGAGGGTGTGGTTAGAGGAGTGATGGAAAAAGTTGAGAGGGGAGATGTTGAGGCTTTGAGAGAGGTGAAATTCAGAAACCTTACTCCCTCCTCTTTTAGACATCTGTCTAGAGTAGAGGTTGAGCAGAAGCTTGGAGAACTTAAAAGCCTTGTGAGAAGCTGTGTGACCAAAGGTGTTATCTTGTATGTTGGAGATCTCAAGTGGACTAGCGAATATAGGGCTAGTAGTTCAAGTGATCAGGGAAGGGGGTATTATTGTCCTGTGGAACACATGATCATGGAGCTTGGGAACTTGCTTTCTGGCGTTAGCAATGGAGACCTTCAGAATGGGAGGCTTTGGATTGTGGGAATGGCTACTTTCCAAACTTACATGAGATGTAAGTCTGGCCATCCATCTCTGGAGACTGTTTGGGGTATTCATCCTCTTACAATTCCCTCAGGCAGCCTGAGACTGAGTCTTGTCACTGACAGGTATAAATTTAGCAGCTAACCAATTAGTAAAGTTAATTAAAAACTAACAAAAATTTTGCATACTTTTATTTCATCTCCCTTACTCTCCTTTTTAAAATGTTCATGTATTCTTATAATTTTAAATTTTCGCATCCGTTGATCTTGAGGAAGATGTGCAAATTATTCACTAGGTTTCTTTTTTCTTTTTCCCTTTTTGAAATTAATGAACCTCTCTATTCTCTAAGTTACCATGCACCTTTTTCTCATCTTCCTTTTTAATTGGATGGGGAATGGTGAACAAGGAGCACTTCAACATTTATTCAGACTCCTCTTTTAAGTTTTTCACTGTATCTCTTGTTAATTACAGTCTTTAGCAGTACCCATTCTCCTTGAATACTATATGTAGTCAGGTTATTGTTCTTATTAACATCAACTTTACTTGTATTTACAGCCATGATTTACAGAGTGATCAGTCTACAAGTAAGATAGCTGAAACTGGAAGCAACAAGCAAATGCTTGAAGGTGGAGATCAGAAGCAGCTCACTTGTTGCTCAGAATGCTCCGCCAAGTTTGAAGCCGAAGCTCGAAATTTACAACAAAGCAGCAGCATTTGCAACAGTGAATCCACCACTTCAAGCCTTCCTGCATGGCTCCAACAGTACAAAAACGAGAACAAAGCACTAAGCAGTACATTAGATCAGGTTCTAATAATAACATATCTCAACCTCTTCAGTTTATTCGTAATTACCTAGCTACATTTATATGGCCCATCTAGCACTAATACAAGTACTCCAAAACTAACTTTTTCCTTTGCAACTATCTCGTTTTCTTTTTTTGTATACAGAACTCTGTCACAATTTCAGACCTTTGCAAAAAGTGGAACTCCATTTGCGGTTCAATGCACCAACAACATTCCAATAATTCCTCTGAGAAAACCCTCACATTAATCTCTTCACTCTCGCCCTCTTCCTCTACTTCCAACTTTTCATATGAGCAACAACAACAACCAAACCCTAATTTACACCGCCAGCATCAGTCATGGAGGCACCAACATTTCTGGATATCTGGATCTAATTGCAACAAGGCTGTTGATGATCAGCTCAGTTTGAGAATGTACATTCCAGAGAACAATACTAGTCCAAAACAACCACTTTCATCAAATCCCAATTCTACCCCTACTTCAGCCTCATCTAGTGATATTGTCATG